AGTTCAATGCGTTATTGAGAAAATTGTTGCCATTGTTTTGTAAAACATTTTGTGTGGTGCCACTTAGGCCTGTGAGAAATGGGATATTATTGTTGTTTAAAAGACCACTGTTTCCACTGTTTTGAGGAACACCATTGTTTATTGGGAGATTTGAACCATTAGGCTTGGCAAAGGGAACCTAACCACTGACGGCGGGGTTGTTCACGACGTCGGTCATGGCTAGAGCTGAATGGTTGGACCCGCCAAGAATGTCATGCATAAAGAAGGTTAAGGTGTGGGCAGCGTCAGTGGCACTATTGGTTGCAGCCACGGTTGGTAAATTGGCAACAGCTGTCGAGACAGGATCGGATGGCTACGGAGGAACCGGCGGCAGGACCGGTTGTTCATCGAGAATTCGAGCTGAGGTGGAAGATAGTATGGTGACAAGGGTAAGGAACATCAGATAGGCAGTGGCCTTTGACGTGCTGGAAATGAAATTGTGGGATTCCATGTATGCAATAATATATATGTGAGTTTGAAAAAAACACGATTAATTAGAAGATTGATGATGGATTAATGAAGGGTTAGAAGTGCATTTATATAGAGATTGAGGAGTGAAATATTGGGAGTTGATGAGATGGATTTGGTAGATGTCATTTACTTTTATTGTTTAATGGAGTTCTGAAATGTTGATTTTGGAGAAAGTGGAGCAAGAGGAATATTTGGACACGGAGAGTTTTAGCTCACCTAAAGAGAACTCATGTAATATATGTATATATATATCATTAATGCTACGGACACTTTTGAAATTAATGTTGCCCTGGTGTAAGATGTTCCAATTTTCATTGAGGTAATTATTATTATTAATTATTGTTATTTAATTTAATTTAAATCAAAAACTTTCGTGAATCATATGTGGCATACAAATATTTTGAGAAATTACATAAGGTAGTAATAAACACAATGGATAACAATTCACTATAGACTTCCTCTAATAAAAAATAATAAAGATAGAGTTATTATTAAATTGCGAGCTGCTAAGTCGGAGTTGTAAGAGAAAATTTATGAGATTGAGTTATAAGTGTATGATTAAATTAACAATAAAGATTGATTCACAACTCAATCTTACAAACTTTCTCTCACAATCCCGACGTGACAACTTGCAATTAGGTAAACAAAACTCATTGTTAGGTAAACTGAACTCATTATGAGTTAACCAATTGTGAGCTATCACGTCGAAGTTGTGAGATTAAGTTATAAATGTAGAAGTGCCTTTAAATTAATATGGTCAATACGTGTGAAAAATAAAATTCATGCGCTCTGTATGGACTAACTACAACATTTATGAAAGAAAATACTAACTCTTGAACATTCTCACATGGACACGGTCCTGGATCAGGCAAATTGGGTTGGATACAAATGGGCTCCCATTCGGTCTTTGAAAAATGGGCCAGACTTTCTAAATGACCACACCCATCTTCTATCTAGACCGACACACAAAAGCTGACTATAACAAATGTGATGTTAAGTTGAAAGGAACTGGAAGGCAGGTGTTGTAGGAGGAATGCACAAAATTGTCAAAATAGTAGGAGGAAGTTGTCCAATGAGGATTTATATACAGGATTACAAAAAAACTCCAAGAGCATAATTATGTCAATGAAGTTAGTATCTTCATGGCCAATTTAGAGTCTAAATTAGCGTATCACTTTTATGAAAGCAAATCCAAACTTTTATTCATAAAAATATGTAGTGATTTCTCTTTTTATATTTGTCACAAGTGATGACATAATTATTAACAAATTTTAGGAGTTATATTAATGTAACTAGCTTATTATTCTATTCTTAGATCACATCATATCAATATATCTCTACTTTATTTGATTCATTTTGTGTAAATAAATGATTTATCAATCACAGTTTACCATTAAAAATAACTATTATAACTACTAAAAATAAAATTTCGTGTAAATAAAGCATTTATCAATCACAATTTACCATTAAACCACCATATTCTATTTTAATTAAATAGTGATTATTTTATGTTGATTATCTCAAAACATTATAAGATAAAAAATATCCTAATTTTCCAATTCAGTTGGGCATTTCAATTATGCTAACTAGATGACTTAGAGGGACAATCAATCTTTTCTTAAAGTGTTGTAAAGGTAACCTAATTTTTCAAGTCAAACTGTTTGGTTAATACATATAAACCGTTCAATAAAGTAATATACCAATAATTTTTATTTCAATTGGTCACCCCAATATTTAATACACTTGTAATTAGGGGTGTTCGGTTCCAAATACCCTGCACTTTTTGAAGGAACCGGAACCAGAACTGACGGTTTCTTAAAATTTGGAACCAGAACCAGAACCTGTAACAACGGTTCTGGTTCCGGTTCTGAGTACCCTGTAAAATTACATGACCCCCCAAAAGTTTTTAAAATAGCAAAAAAACCCTTAAAAACTTACAAATACCCCCCCACCTGGCACTTGTTAACAAAAATAAAATTACAAATTATAAATTCAAAATGACAAACTCCATTACTTTGTAAAGGTAGATTCTCAAAAGTCAAACCAACTTACTTTAAATGTTATGAAATATAAATATAAATGTATTCACATTACTTTTTCTATAAAAGTTTTTATTAACCCCTCTAATATTTAATTTTATTTTATATTAATCTCCGTTCCTGGTTCCTGATTCCGGTTCTGGTTCCGGTTCCTATTCTGGTTCCTAACTATAAGAACCAGAACTACACAGTAACGGTTCCAAAAATTTGGAACCGAAATCTACCTATTGACGATTAGTTCTGGGTAGGAACTAGAACTAAACTCAGAATACCCGCCGATTTCGGTTTCAACCGGTTCTTTTGAACACTCCTACTTATAATGTTGGCTATAAATAATTTTCTCTTAATTAGATAATCATTTCGTATTTAAAGTTTCGATGATTTTCAAAATTTATATTTAAAGACTTTTAAAATATTTATTAGGACTCTCCTCAAAACGAAAAATTATAATTTCAATTAAAATTTATCTCTTTGTTTCATATGTAAAACTTAAGTTTTAGATTGAAGCATATAAAAAAAAAAAAAAAAATGGATTTTTTTTGTATTAATTTATTTATATTCAGTCTGCCCACAATTCAAAGTCTAGCTCCGTCCCTATCACTACATTTCAAACATACATCCACGATTCCATGTAGAATAAATATTTCACATCAATATCAAGAATGAATAGTTTCTTCCAAAACCGTAGTGGATTTGTGAATGCAAGACATGTTCCCACCGAAAGATTAGCGAAATTCTAACTTCTCATCCCTGCTTTCATTTTGAGATTCTCACCCATAAATTAATAAAAAATTATTTAATTAAATGGTTAAGGGTAAAAATGGTTATTTGAATTGCGTTAAATCTAATTAAAAATAAAAACTTCAAAATAACTATTTACATTTCAAATTTCTCTCACAAGCACCGCTAATCACTCTCCTCCCTCGCGGCTTTCAGAAAAATCTAGATCTAGTCGAATTTCAACGCCATTGGACATCATCGTCACCACCACTAGCTTTCCCCGCTCATCCCCAACAAAACCCATCCATCCCCAAGCCTCGTCCGCCTCCATTTTGGTCAGATTCGAGTTTTTTCTCCGCAATTTTCCCCTCTCTCTTGGTTGTGAAAAAAATTTAGATCTAACTAAATTCCAACACCGTTGGACATCACTGCCACCATCACTAGCTTCCCCACTCATCCCCGGTAAAATCCATCCATCCCCCAATCTTGTCCGCCCCCATTTTGGTTGGAATTGAGTGTTTCCTCCCTGAATTTTCGCTAGTCTTTGAGTGGGAACATGTCGTTGACTCAATATTAGTCAACAGATAACGTGTAAATTCTAATATCTACTTTAATTACTTCCTGAGAACGACTACATTACGCGTGACCGTGACTTACATTGGACAGCAGCTTGCCATTAGACCACATTGGGTTGCTATGCGCTCAGGAAAGTTCAAATGACTGGCCCTACATGCCTCAAGTTGTTCACATGGTTAACAGTGTCGTGCACCTGGATTTTTTATGCAGACTACAGCCATTAGAGCTCTGAAACCAACTCAGAAGTTAAGCGGTTCCATGAACATTACAGAACTACATCCTAGATAGTGGTCCCAATTCCAATTGTATCTGAATTAAGGTCTTATATAATTTTTGCCTCTTCAAAATAATATGACATCTTATATAATTTAAAAAGAATATCATAAACCAAATTTACACCGAGCTTCGTGAAGTTTTTAGGCTTCACAAACCAACATGAAAGCTGTTAAGATTCCAATTGTTTTCAGGGAGATGATCAAACACGTAAATAAGTTTGATGACATTTATTCACATGGTAAACTTACAAAAATATGCTGGCTGTCTTTTGTTCGGAAGGCGGTCGAATCGATTTGTTGATTCTAAAGCGAGTAAACGAGTTTTTCTTACCCAAATAATAGTTTAATGACATTTTTCTACGTACAGACTGTTAAAAAATCATTTTACTATCTACATTTATATTTCATTTTTTATTTCGGCATTGTTGCGACCCCACCACCACCATTTTCTTTATCGACCATTAATCATCAAAACCCCTTAAATCCTATTTCCGCCGACCATTAATCACCATTTCATTAAACTATTATTTAGTGGGAAAAAGTAGTTAACTCTTCTAAATCAAATTAAATAATATGGTAGTAAGTATTTGACATGTGATATAAATAAATTATATGTTTATATAATTTATCCTCTACTTCCGTCCTTGTCGTTAAATAAAATATTGAGTCAACCAACACGTTTATTCTCTAATCTACCTAGCAAAATGGACTGACCGCACTTTCTCAGAAATGGCTCCTGGAGCCATAGTCAAAAGGTTTATTCCTTCTGCTTTCCCATTTGACTCTTTCACACACGGCTGCTCATGATGGTACGAATTCAATTAAGCTAACGTTGAGCTAGGCAATAACATTATCCTTCAAAGATTAGTTCAACCCCCCTCGTATATTCATTATTTTCAACATATATATAACACAAACACGTAAAAGAGATCACAAATTAATCAAAACCATGGCTTCTGCAACATTGGTTTTCTTAATTATTCTCATCTCTATTCATTTTTTCACTCTCACCCTTTCCCAATTAGACTTACAGTACAATAATTGTTATGTGCCAAATGGAGGTACCTTCGATCCTACTGGTCCTTACAAACCAAACCTTGAACAAGTTCTAAACACCCTCACCACCGATACCACCGTAACTTCCGGGTTTTACAATTCCTCAGCTGGGACAGGTACTAACAAAGTTTATGCAAGAGCACTTTGTAGGCCGGACATGTCGTCGGAAACTTGTCGTGATTGCATAAATGTAACAAGGGAGATCCTGCCAACCGTCTGCCAGAATAATAGATCCGCCATTGGAGGTTATGATGATGATAAAGATATTAATTGTATGCTACGTTATGCAGATTATGACCAGTTTGGGATAATGGAAGATAAACCTTAATTTTATGTAAACACACTCAAGTTGGTTGACAACCAATACGTGGACGAATTCAATCGAACCCGAAAGAGTTTGTTGGATAAGCTAATAATTCAGGCTGCAGCTGCTGATTCTCCTAACAAATATGCAGCTGATTTTGCAGTAGCTTCATTTGGTCGGATATATGGATTGGTGCAGTGCACTCCAGACTTAAACGAAACTTCGTGCAAAAATTGCCTCGATAGTACCATGACGCATATGACCGCCTGTTGTGATACAAAACAAGGAGGAAGAGTTTATACCCCAAGCTGTAATTTTAGATATGCGCTCAACGCCGACTTCTTCAAGAGGGTGACCCGCCCTCCAAAAGGTACCTGTACTTCCGATTTCCCCCTATTGTTAACTTTTTGATTCCACTGTAAGAGATCTCTAACTTTGTTTACTCAGCAAGCATTAATCTGATCAAAATTAATTCTTGGGAATTGCAGAAAAGAATCATACTGTCATCATCATTGTTAGTGTCATTGTTTCAGTCGTTACTTTGGTGACACTTGTTGGAATCGTAATCTTCTTGAAACGGAAAAAATGGGAGGAGGAAGATGAAAGTAAGTTAAAACTTCTGTTTTTTTTCTTTTATTTATTCTAAAGGTTTATGGTCTGTTTTGATTCAATGTAAGCTGAGTAATAGTAGCTATAGTTTTGGAAGAAAATAGATATCCTTCCCCTCATCAAACCCTTTGAAGAACTGGTGGGGCAAATTACACTATCCTAAATCCTGATTAAACTATTTTAATTTACCTATTGTTAACATCTTGATTTCGATCATGAAGATGTAGAAGATATCAAACATACAGAGTGCGTGCAATTCGACTTGAGCACCATTAAAACTGCCACAAATAACTTCTCTGATGCTAATAAACTTGGACAAGGTGGATTTGGTGCAGTGTACAAGGTAAAATATTTCAGAACTTACATGCATGTTGTTAAATCCATAACTTTTGGTTTCCTACCTCTCACATTTTCTTGATATGCCAGGGCATGCTTCCAGATGGACAGGAATTAGCAGTAAAGAGATTGTCTACGAATTCTAGACAAGGAGAAGAAGAATTTAAGAATGAGGTACTATTGTTGGCCAAGCTTCAGCATAGAAATTTGGTTAGGTTACTCGGCTTTTGCTTAGAACGAAAAGAAAGGATTCTTGTCTACGAGTTTGTGCCTAACTCAAGCCTCGATCATTTCATATTCGGTATGTAATTTGCACTTATAATATTATGAATATATGTATATATGCAAAGATCAACGACTTAATAACTTGTAATTTGATAGGTTTAACAACTCTTGTAAACTGGGAAACGCTTTATAAAATAATAGGAGGAATTGCTCGAGGTCTACTTTATCTTCATGAAGATTCTAGACATCGGATCATTCACCGAGATCTTAAACCCAGTAACATTCTATTAGATTCAGAGATGAATCCAAAAATTGCAGATTTTGGTTTGGCAAAATTGATAGAAATGGATCATACACATAAAACTACAAGTAGAGTTGCGGGGACCTAGTAAGTATAAACTTTTGTGTACCTATGGCAGAATTTATTTTGAATTCATGACTACACATTCTAAGAAGGAAAAAACACTGAACTGTTTAAACATAAAGAATACTCTCATCTCAATCACTGAAATTCATAAGTTTTCATTTGACTCATTGATTATATGCAGTGGGTATATGGCTCCAGAGTATATGAGTCTTGGGCGCGCCTCAGTAAAAGCAGATGTCTTTAGCTTCGGCGTTATGATTTTGGAAATTGTGATGGGCCAAAGGCGAAGCGAGTTTGGAAGCGAAGAGGAAGTGGAGGATCTTCTAACCTTTGTAAGTAGAACAGACAAGTTACTTAACATGATATAAAAACTATACGTCTAATGTTTCGATTGGACATTACACTTAAACATTAATGTATGGTTAACATTTGTATGTATAATTTTCCATAATGTTGTAGGCATGGAAAAGCTGGAAAGAAGGGACGACTTTAAATCTAATAGCTCCTGCATTGAGGGGAGATTCAACAACTGATGAAATGCTGAAATGCATCCACATTGGGCTTCTATGCGTTCAGGAAAATGTAAATGACAGACCCTACATGGCTTCAGTTGTTCACATGCTTAACAGTGAGATTCTCACTCTTCCTGAGCCTTCAAAACCTGGATCGTTAATGCAGACTACAACCAGAAGAGCTCTGAACGGAGAGACATCATCATTTTTAAAACATAATTCTGGGTCAGCTGAACCAAAACCAACTAAGAATGTAAGTTGTTCTGTTGACATCACAGAAGTACATGGTAGATAGTGTTTCCAATTCCAATTGTATTTTAACTAAAGTCTAGATAATTGTCTTTCATACAATTTTCCTTTTCTGCAAATATATATTTTCGGTTTTGGAATTAAATCATTTTGTAGCCTTTTTAGATATTATAAATTAAATATCAATTTTCGGCACATTGCTGTTTAAGAAAATTAGTGAATTATGTATTCTTTCCTTCTAATTTAGCCTTATATATCTCTATCAGCGCATTGCAGAACCTGGTATACACAGATGCAGGTTACTGCATTCAAAGGGGCCGCCATTGTGGTTACCCTCATTCATAATGATTTTCAATACCAAATAAAAGAGAGAAATAGTTACAAAACCATACCTTTTTTTTTCTTTCTTCTTTCTCTTTAATTGAATGTAGAAACATGAATGTTGATACAGTGATTCCAAACCTCACTCGATCAAAACTTTTCCTATTTACATCACTTTCTCGTGGTCTTGAGGATACATAAATCATAAATGAATTGGTGAAAAAAGGGGGGAAAAAACAAGAAAAAGAAAAAAACCTCTCTCTCTTCCTATCCTGTGGTTCTGATTCTATATGATTTGAGAAAAAATGTATTATATTTATATGCATGCAAAAACTCTCGTGGTACTGATATAACAAATATGATGGTCTGCTAAAACTGCCAGAAACACAGGCAATACCTATCAAAAAGTATCAATGCTAACAACCTCTTCGGCTAACTGATCAATCAACGAACTCTCTATTTCTGTAACAATTACCTCAATATCATCTCCCAACTCTAACCATCCATCATCCCGTCCCAGCACTTTCACAGGTGAATCCCTGTTCGCTTGCTTATCATGACGAACAAGCGACATCCACAGCTCTTCCTCAGCTGCCTCGAGACTCTTCCTAAAGCAAAGTCTTCTCGATACAGGTTTTGTCCAGTTCATCCCAATGCTTGTCTGGAGAATATCACCCAGCTCTGAAATTATACGGTCAAACAGAAGCTTCCTCTCTGACCTCTTCCAAGACATCTGCTCACCATACTTCTTCTCTAGAATCTCGAACACTGCAGGTCTCATTGGGAATTCAGAAGAATACCAAGTCTCATAGCCCAGATCTGAGTTCTTACCATGAAAACCTGCCTCAGTAAAGACATCAACAAGGTAGGAGAAGTCCCTGCTCTCTTCGACGTTGAATATTCTCATGAACTCCCCATTATCCCCAGAATTGTGTACAGATCCTTCCTCAGAACCATCCTCACTCGACACAATCATCCCAGCTCCTTCAGAGTACGCTTCCAAGGACTCTGATTTCAATAGTTCAAGTTGCAGCTGCAAACCTGGCAACAGAGAATAACGAGGAAGTGAAAAACTTGAAATAGTCACAGACGCAAAAACATAAAATGAATATATTTATATAGCAGGCCATGTCACGCTACCGTGCAAATCAGTTTTGGCACCCTGAAAGCATTCAGGGCTAGATGGAATCCCTTTCTCAAATGGTGGTTCAAGCACTGAATTTGGACTAGGCTGATGAGCTGCCTCTGAGTTCACAAAAGATTCAAAGTCTATGCAAGAGCATATTGAAGAAAAGAAATCTTCTTGAGAGATTCCAAATGACATATCCTGCAACATAAAGTAAGATTTTCAGCGAGCAAGAAATTGCAAGGTAATGATTACAATAAAAATGCATATCCTTAGCAGTAAGTAAAGCTAATCATCAGTTCTTCAGAAGACATGGACAACAAAACAATTCGTCTGTTTCCCTAGAATCCTGGAGAAGAATTTGAACCAAAAATTTCAACTGTGCACAATTATGCAGCCAAAAATACACACAATGAAATGTAAGATACAAAAAGGCAATAAGTAAACCAAACTTTCCTTTGCATCTTGAGTGTTAACTTATTTACTAGCTTAATGAAACATGACATAAGACAGGAAATTTTTTATTTTTAGGTTATCCATGCTCAAGGGAGGTCAGGCTGGCAGGTCAGTTACAATTGAACTTATGAAAACATATCAACCGAATATTAGTATATCATGAATTATATACTATTATGTCATAAATACATGAAACTCAAAAAGTAATATTAGACATTTCTTAATCAATAGCATCACAGAGCACTAAATATGCAAACATATCTTCTTCAATCATAGTAGCCAATTCTAGAATGACTCTTGTTATCCGCTCAATTTTTTACTTATTGTCAATGTTTATCGTATTGTATCTGCCACCTCACTTCTTCACTTGCCCTCATGCTTGAGTAATGTAGCCACACACACAGCACTTACCATCTTCTAGTCCAACAAAAGCAACAATCTGTTGCCCTAAGAAACTTAATTTCAGAATGCAGAAGAAATTTTTGCAGTCTGGGTATATATAACCACACATACTATACATGTCATTAACTACAACACATTTTCAAGTGTAATGAATGGTTTAAATGATTCTAGAAGCTAATTGAGAAACAAACTTCCCAAGAAAATTATGTCAGAATACACACTATATCAACGAATCCAGAAATGGAGACAAATGAATATCAAACCTGTTGAGTTGAAGTATCTGGAACTTGAGAAGAAGAATCGTCATCTTCCACTAATGAGGTGCAGTCGGTGGGTTCAAAATCCTGATCCTTGTGATTTTCAGAAGACCTACTGACAAACTCATTTTCTGCATCAGTCACCATCTCGGAAACCATACTGTCAGAGGCAACAACGAATGCTGATGATGACTCAGAAACAACACAATTTTGTCCAGAAAAATCTTTTTTCTCAATCTTGTCCTTCAACTCTTCCTGAATAGCCATACTCTCTCCGATGGTGCATCTGTGATCTGATACAGGGCAAATATCATTGCAACTTGAAGAGTTAAAAACCACAGATACTTTTTCACATGGATCTTTCTCCTCTACTTTTCTCTTCAGCTCACCCTGGACCACATGATCATCTTGTACCAAGCAACTATTTCCAGACTTCATGCAGCTGGATCCTGAGATTATAGAGTATGAACCATCTTTCTGATTATGACCTTGCTTCCTAAATCTCTGTTGCAACCTATTAGCAGATTCCAGACGCTTCATAAAGTGGTCACTGTGAAGACCAATCTTGCTGCTATTGCCCTGCCCACCAAGCCTGATATCCAAACTTCTGGGCCTTGATTCATGATCAGGCATGGCAAGCATTTCACCCAGAGTTCTGGACATATCACCTACTTCAACTTCTTGAAACTTTTCAGTAGTTTTCCATCTTTCTAATATCTCCTTCTTGGCTTGCCTAGCCACATAAGAACTATCTGAATGNACAATTCGTCTGTTTCCCTAGAATCCTGGAGAAGAATTTGAACCAAAAATTTCAACTGTGCACAATTATGCAGCCAAAAATACACACAATGAAATGTAAGATACAAAAAGGCAATAAGTAAACCAAACTTTCCTTTGCATCTTGAGTGTTAACTTATTTCCTAGCTCAATGAAACATGACATAAGACAGGAAATTTTTTATTTTTAGGTTATCCATGCTGAAGGGAGGTCAGGCTGGCAGGTCAGTTACAATTGAACTTATGAAAACATATCAGCAGAGTATTAGTATATCATGAGTTATATACTATTATGTCATAAATACATGAAACTCAAAAAGTAATATTAGACATTTCTTAATCAATAGCATCGCAGAGCACTAAATATGCAAACATATCTTCTTCAATCTTAGTAGCCAATTCTAGAATGACTCTTGTTATCAGCTCAATTTTTTACTTAATGTCAATGTTTATCGTATTGTATCTGCCACCTCACTTCTTCACTTGCCCTCATGCTTGAGTAAAGTAGCCACACACACAGCACATACCATCTTCTAGTCCAACAAAAGCAACAATCTGTTGCCCTAAGAAACTTAATTTCAGAATGCAGAAGAAATTTTTGCAGTCTGGGTATATATAACCACACATACTATACATGTCATTAACTACAACACATTTTCAAGTGTAATGAATGGTTTAAATGATTCTAGAAGCTAATTGAGAAACAAACTTCCCAAGAAAATTATGTCAGAATACACACTATATCAACGAATCCAGAAATGGAGACAAATGAATATCAAACCTGTTGAGTTGAAGTATCTGGAACTTGAGAAGAAGAATCGTCATCTTCCACTAATGAGGTGCAGTCGGTGGGTTGAAAATCCTGATCCTTGTGATTTTCAGAAGACCTACTGACAAACTCATTTTCTGCATCAGTCACCATCTCGGAAACCATACTGTCAGAGGCAACAACGAATGCTGATGATGACTCAGAAACAACACAATTTTGTCCAGAAAAATCTTTTTTCTCAATCTTGTCCTTCAACTCTTCCTGAATAGCCATACTCTCTCCGATGGTGCATCTGTGTTCTGATACAGGGCAAATATCATTGCAACTTGAAGAGTTAAAAACCACAGATACTTTTTCACATGGATCTTTCTCCTCTACTTTTCTCTTCAGCTCACCCTGGACCACATGATCATCTTGTACCAAGCAACTATTTCCAGACTTCATGCAGCTGGATCCTGAGATTATAGAGTTTGAACCATCTTTCTGATTATGACCTTGCTTCCTAAATCTCTGTTGCAACCTATTAGCAGATTCCAGACGCTTCATAAAGTGGTCACTGTGAAGACCAATCTTGCTGCTATTGCCCTGCCCACCAAGCCTGATATCCAAACTTCTGGGCCTTGATTCATGATCAGGCATGGCAAGCATTTCACCCAGAGTTCTGGACATATCACCTACTTCAACTTCTTGAAACTTTTCAGTAGTTTTCCATCTTTCTAATATCTCCTTCTTGGCTTGCCTAGCCACATAAGAACTATCTGAATGGTAAAATGAGGGCCTGTATTGGTTTTTCCTGTAAGAGGAACTAGGGGAAGAAAATGGTATCAAGCCAGACTCTTTTGTGAGTGTGTCACTATCTCCGCTCCCTGACCTTGATGCCTTTCTGGACAATTTGTTTTTGCCATGCCCTATTTGTCTGGAAATCAGTCTATCAGGTTCCTCATCTTTAGGCAAATTCTTCCTTTCTTGCTTATCAACATATATATCCCCTTTTTCAGGACTAGGAAATTCTTTATTCTTCAGACTAATTGAATGAGAATTCCCATTAGAACTAGATCCAAGGTTTGGTTTCAAAACAACAATATTTGTTGGGGGAAGGCATGTTCCATTCTCCAACTCCATTCGAGATCTCACAAACTTGTCTATATTACCAAGACCAAGTTTCTGAAGCATTTTCACACTTCCTTGGTCAACTCCCCTCCCAGATTTGTTGCATGTGTCAGTCTTTCGAGAATAAGAAGCATAGGACGAGTTCAAGACCTTAATGCGCCCAGATTGAGAAGAGTGATGAATGCCTTGCAGATCATGGCGACGCTTGGTGATCAAAGAATCTGGTTCCTGGAGATCTTTTGCAGACGGGTTCTTTTTATAGTCCACAACTCCCAGTGCATCATGTCCTCCCTTTAAAAAATGAAGCTGCATATCCACTGAGTTTGCATCTACAAACTTTTGGCTCATGAATGCCATCTTTACCTCTGAAGAACTCAAGTTACCTTTTCCCTTTTTAACTGACAGATTGTAATCCTTCTCTCTCTTTAATTTTTCTAGTACTTCAACTACATCCTCAAGTTCTTTCTTCTCTTCAAAGCTCAACCGAGAGTGGCGCTTCTCTGTTACACCAATAGAAGCAACTCTCCTCAGATAATTCTCAGAAAGCACTCTTTGCTTTTTCTGGACAGGCTGATGATGTGACAGCTCATCAAGACCCATTAATCTTGCTATGACACTTGGTGTACGTTGTTTAGATTCCATATTTAGTGACATTATTGAACTATTCTAGATAAACGCTCCCTCAATTGAAAGAATTTCCAGATATTGCAAGAATGCACCTACAACAAATCAGATATAGCTATATAAAGAAGGTGAAAAAACAGCTTGATTCTTAAACCAAAATAAATGATCCCCCAACATTTGTTTCCTCTTCCAGCTAAAATCTTACATCCCCACCAGGACAAAACAACAATGTGCTACTCACCAAAACTTCTTTTGTAGTATTGACAAAGCAACAACTAAAATCAGAAGCCGAATTTGGAGCATTTTTAAGTTTCTGAACCTCCCTGCTCCCTGGAAAAGTTACCATGATTCAATAAATATGCAGAACCAATTTCCATGCAAAAACATACAAAACTAGTATTTATGAAAAGAAAAAAGAAAGATACTCCTAGCTAATAGTCTTCAATTTGCAGCACTGAAAGAGAATTAAAAAAAAAAATGAAAACAGAACCGAAAAAAAAAAAAAAAAAAGGAAGCGTATTTCCCGAAAAGGCTTTCTATTGCCATCATCATAGAATAAAGTAGAAAATCTATCATCTTGAAGAGAATTTAGAAAATAAAAAGAAGTAAAAAAGAAAAAAGAAAAAAAAGAGAGAGAGAGGCTTAAGTGAGCATCCAATAAAGCCAGAACAAAGTTTCTAGAAACGGCAATTAAGACAATATAGAAAAGTTTGTTGTTGCAATGAGCATGCAGAAACAAAATCATTAAAACATCTTCTTCCAGTAAGCAGTTATTACGATAACAGCGTAGAAACAAGTGTAAAGTGCATCAAGCTATCAATTGATGCAACATACCATCATCACTGATAGAGGACAACTTCAAAGTTCAAACAATAGGCTTAAAAAGAAAGAAAGTTTACCATCAATCAAGGAAACTGTTACAATATTGATATGAAATCAAAGAGTTTTGGAAACCCACAAAATTTTATTAATATAAACGTGAAAATCCGAGTAATCTCATGTATAAAATAATAACAATAACAATAATAAGAACCTACAAAAGCTGGAACAAAATGATTTTGATGCCACCATAACAAAACATCACTATTCTATTCCATCATAATCACTTAAAAAAAAAAAAAAAAAAAACCAACTTTGGATTAAACACACGCAACAATCAATCAAACTCGACAGAATCATCAAACTCTTAATAAACAAAAGAAACCCATAAATTAAAAAAAACAAAAAAAAAAAACAACCCAAAAAATAATCAAGAGAGACAACAAAGTAAAGAACTTACCTTCTTTAAACGATCTTCGTTTCATCCATCATCGCATGCAATAAAATCTCTTCTTTTAAGGTAAGTATTTGAAAATCAAACGATCTCGAAACGTAAACAAATCATCTTTTTTTTCTGTGTTTTCGTTTTCGCTTAAAATCAAGCAAGAAAAGACACGCCGACAAATTGAAAACTTTTGCAAGTCAACAACGAAATGAAATCATCCCAGTCAACAGCACCAGATTTTATCCGATTTTCAAACGCAAAAATAATAAATGGACGGCAACAACAAAACCAAACTCATCGGTTTCTGGAATTTTGATTTAAAACAAAAAAAAAAAAAAAAATTGAAGAAATGGGATTAAAGAATTGAAAGTAAAAAAGAGAGAGGACAAGTAGAATGATGAAACTATGATTGATGAAGAAACTGAAGAGAAGCACAGGTATTATTTTTATAATCATTATTATTCTTTTAATTTATTTCTTTCTGCTTTTGTTTCGGCTGTCATTTTATGAAATTACGCGCGAATGATTGTCGTGTTTGCGTACTTCGCGCCATAAAGACACGATTTCTTTATTCAGGAAATTTGATTTTTCCACTCTTTTTTTTTTTTTTTTTTTAACTTGTTGCAATCTGTTTTATTTTTATTTTTTGTGAATTTTATCTTTTTAAATACTAATAATTATGTTTATTTTTTTATGAATTTCTCTTGAAATTATTTGGAATATACCATTTTTTGGAATTAAGTGTATGTACATACAAATAAAATATGTTGGAGGAAGTGAGAAGGTAGGTGGAAAGTGATGTAATATTTATTTATTTTTTAAATAGTTAATAATGAGAATGATTGGCTAGATCACGTGAGTTGCATGTGGATTAGGTTTTGACTCAAAAATAATAAAATCTTGATTAAACTAATAATGGGTCAGTACCGCCTCCAACAAATGAGCTATATATTCAAAAAATGAAACAATTATCATTGGGTTGGGCCGACAAAAGCCCAGCCCAGCCCATGATTTCCCCTGAGATAATTTTGGGCTTCTAAGCCCATCTTGATTACCCTAGTGGGCTTCGTTGCTTCCCATCATATTTAGATACGAGTTTCCTAAACAAGAACAATAATGATCCATGAAATGTTTTTCTAATTAAATTAAGAGTTAATAAAATAACAAAAATCTCTTTCTGACTTTCTAATTTCTATGACATAAGAAAAAAAAAATTTGACTGTTACATTTTAGGTGTTAAAATAAATAAACCAAAGAAATTACATAAATATTAATTTATTCGTAATAGTATAATTTATAACCACTCATTAATCAGCTAAAAATTCAATAATGATTTTTGTCATTTCATAAACCTATTTAATCAAACCTAGGATCCATGTGTTTTAAAGCCTTAAACAAACTAAAGTTTGGTCGTTCAAGAGATATCCATTTTAAAGTTAATTTGAAACATAATATATATATATTACACAAAAGTGTGAGTTGGGTTGGTTTGGTTTTATTAATAGAGCAAGATGCTAAAGATCCGAGTCAATATCGTATGTATCATCCTTTTCAAGAAAACACTCTCATTCACTTACAGTCCACAAATGGCTCTTGAAATCTGTGCGAAGGCTGCCGCTGGTGCTCCTGATATTCTTGGAGACTGTAAGTTTTGTGTTTCTGTATTGTTTTGTGATTATTTTTTTATGGGTTCTGATTTTGAAATTATTTTGAAACTTTATGTTTCGTTTGTTTTTCTTTAGGCCCATTCACTCAAAGGGTTCTGCTAACGTTGGAGGAAAAGAAAGTTCCTTTCAAGGCACACTACATCAACACCAGCGACAAACCCCAATGGTAAAAGATTGGTTTTTGGGTGTTCCGATCGGTGCTATTGAGGGTTAAGCAAATGAATTGTTGTGATTTCTGAGAAAGGGGTTAATTGTCGTAAGTATTTTTTGTGATGAAATGTTAGGTTTTTGGAGGCAAACCCAGAAGGGAAGGTGCCAGTGATGAAGTTTGATGATAAATGGGTGCCTGACTCTGATGTGATTGTTGGAATTCTTGAGGAGAAGTACCCTGAGCCTCCTCTCGCTACTCCTCCTGAATTTGCCTCTGTGTAACGCTCTTAACTTGCCCTTCTAGATATTTTTCTTGATTTGTTAGTTCAAGATTTAATTTTGCAGTCTTTTGTATCCAGTTTGATGATACAGGAGAAGCAAAATTTTGTTCTGTGATTATTATTATTANTAAAAGGTTTTGAAACGACAAATAGGTACCTTCCGTCATGTTCTGTTAGTGATTTTAGTTTGATAATAGTGAAAAGACTAAAATACCCTTGAAAGTTTAATATTTTAGTTTTTTATAAATTTAAAAATTTCTAAAAAACCCCCTAGGTTTGCTAATTTGACTAAATACCCCAATATATAAAATTTTTATAAAATAACAAAAACACCCCCGCCACCCGTAGTGCCAGATTCCGGCCACCACCGTTGAAATCTGGCCGAAAAATTGCGTTACGTCACAGACCCATCGGATATGTGTCGTAACGCGTAGATCTGGCATTTTCCGGTAAGAACCGTGGCTGATCTGGCCGGAAAAGGCCAGATCTATGGCCAGATCTGGTCGTTGAGGCCGAAATCTTACCGACAAATTGTGTTATGACACAGACCCGTCGGATATATGTCGTAACACGTCGATCTGGCTGTCGAGGCCGAACAAGGCCAGATCGACACGTTATGACACAGATCTGACGGATCTGTGTCGTAACACAATTTTCCGGCCAGATTCCGGCGGTGGTGGCCACAATCTGGCACTGCGGGTGACGGGGGTATTTTTGTTATTTTATAAAAATTTTATATATTGGGGTATTTAGTCAAATTAGCAAACTTAGGGGGTTTTTTTAGAAATTTTTTAATTTATAAAAAACTAAAATATTAAACTTTCAAGGGCATTTTAGTCTTTTTACTATTATCAAACAAAAATCATTAACAGAACATGACGGAAGGTACCTATTTATCGTTTCAAAACCTTTTAGATACTAACTTATCGTTTCGACAAACCTCGTTCTCCCTTATAATATTACTTAAATCTCTGGGTCTACAGATTGATACTAAACTTAAGGGGTGTTTATGTTTTAAAGCCATCAAATAAATTAGAATATAAGCCAAGCTTCTGAACCATCGAATGACCTTGTGGGATCATGCACATGGCCGAGAATTAGGGTAAGTTCAATCAATAACTGGCTCATTGACTGCAGGGAGGTTTATTTGTCAAGATTTTAATGAAATCCCATAAAGAAATAGCGATTTTGATTACTTCCTAATCGAGTCAAAACCACATAATACATTTCTGAAAGAACGTACGATTAGGATGGCTGTTTCACAAAGCATGTTTGAGACAAGAAATTTTTTTTAAAAATGAAAAAGCTTTACCGTTTACTTCTCTTAAGTCTTAACAGTAAACTAAACCTGTTACTATTCTGAATGTGAAACGGGTGTTTTAGTTTATAACGCATGATCAAATTTTTAACTAAAAAAAAAAAAAAAATGGGTTCTGCTTTTTAGCAACAATTAAGGTGATCCATTATTTTTTACCTTAAAGTGAGGGAGATAACAAAAAAAGATTTTTTTTTTTTTTTATGTGGGACAGTGAAGGTAGAAACTTTCTAGTTAACAGCGATCCAGAAGCTTTTGTTTATTTATTTATTTATAGAAGGTAGTAGCGTTTACTCTCATTTGCAACATTGCTCCATTGTGAACGAAGAAGAAAACACTCTCATTCACTTACAGTCCACCAATGGCTCTTGAAATCTGTGCGAAGGCTGCCGCTGGTGCTCCTGATATTCTTGGAGACTGTAAGTTTTGTGTTTCTGTATTGTTTTGTGATTTTTTTTTTTTTATAGGTTCTGATTTGGAAATTATTTTGAAACTTTATGTTTCGTTTGTTTTTCTTCAGGCCCATTCACTCAAAGGGTTCTGCTAACGTTGGAGGAAAAGAAAGTTCCTTTCAAGGCACACTACATCAACACCAGTGACAAACCCCAATGGTAAAAGATTGGTTTTTGGGTGTTCCGATCGGTGCTATTGAGGGTTAAGCAAATGAATTGTTGTGATTTCTGAGAAAGGGTTTAATTGTCGTAAGTATTTTTTGTGATGAAATGTTAGGTTTTTGGAGGCAAACCCAGAAGGGAAGGTGCCAGTGATGAAGTTTGATGATAAATGGGTGCCTGACTCTGATGTGATTGTTGGAATTCTTGAGGAGAAGTACCCTGAGCCTCCTCTCGCTACTCCTCCTGAATTTGCCTCTGTGTAACTCTCTTAACTTGCCCTTCTAGATATTTTTCTTGATTTGTTAGTTCAAGATTTAATTTTGCAGTCTTTTGTATCCAGTTTGATGATACCGGAGAAGCAAAATTTTGTTCTGTGATTATTATTATTATTAATTTTTAACTTTTTTCCTGATCAATTTCTCAAGTTGAAGCAAACAGATGCATATCTTTCTCTTTTCCCTGTGGTTGGTTCCTCAGAAATGACTTGATTTGATCTGTCACTATAAGTTGCTTAAATTTGTATGTAAGGGGTATTGTTAAAGTTGAGCTTTTGCTCTCATTTGTGATGTGATCGTGTAGGGGATCAAAGATTTTCTCAACTTTCGTCCAGTTTCTGAAAAGCAAGGATCCGAATGATGGGACAGAGCAGGCTTTGCTTCAGGAATTGAAGGCATTGGATGAGCATCTGAAGAAACATGTACTAATAAGCTTGGAACATAGGGGCATCTGATTTATAGTATTGTTTTTTTTTTTTTTTTTTTTTTTTTTTCCCTCTGTAAATTGAGATTAATTTGTACGAGTATGAATCAGGGGGGTCCATTCATTGCTGGGAGAAAATCACTGCAGTTGATTTGAGCTTAGCACCAAAGCTGTACCACCTTGAGGTAGCTCTAGGGCATTTCAAGAAGTGGAGTGTCCCTGAGAGCTTGCCTCATGTCGCAACTACATGAAGGTATGAGGCTTCATAAATCTTCATTGATGCTGTCTATTTCTTGATTCTGACTGGTCTTGAACAATTAATCAGTGGAGTTCTTGGTTAGTCGTATTGTTTAAGGTGAGCATTTTTAGTTGTCTATAGAATTTGATATGGCATCTTCATGCTGAAGGTACACCAAAGCCGAAGGAGTCAATTTATTTTGGGCTTGATATTACCAGCTTGACACTGTTTTTCTGCATTTCCTATCGCATTTTCACCCTTTATGGGCCTTAACAAGATTAATTTCTCAACTATAAACGCATACTGGCGGATGTAGAGTTAATTGGTTACCTATCATGTGTTTAGCATTTTATCATCCAGAACTAGTATGTCTTTTCTGATCAGGAGTCCCTTTTCTCTTAGCTCGAAACCCTCTAGATATATTTCATTATATGAAAGTTTATTTAAGTAAATGAAGATACATACCACACACATATCAAAAGATGTTGAGTTGTTCTTGTCTGTGTTTTTTTAACTAAATAGATCCTAACTAGAGTACTTATTCTTGCAAGTTGCAACTAAGTTTAGGTTTAAATATTTGTTGCTACTATGTATAAGCACCTCGCAACATACAGGTTTACTTAACCAGGTGTTTTTTAAATAAGAATAAACTGGATTCTGGATAACTTTATTTATCGGATTGAAATGCTTCTGACTCTGTCATTAAAGCATGTTTGAGGACTGGCTCTGAAACTGCAGCCTGATAAGTTTGGCATGGCCTGATCTTCACACCTTTAAAATTATGAAACTTGTGATAGCATGCCTTGTTTTAGATGATATCGGCTAACAGAGTGTTTAATGTGTAAGTTGTTGTTCAAACATCATAAAATGGAATAGATCACTCTTTAGATTCTTAATCCTGTGAAAGTTTTGACTATTTGCAAATGAAGTGACGTGATTCCAGACAGTTCTCTGTAGTTCTATATAGTTGTACCTTATGAGAAATTTAATCCATTTACAGTGAAGAATTTAAATCCTTCTTAGAATGTGTTTGTCGGCGAGTGCTTATATCAGTAGAATGGGATTACAAATCAGATAGTGGAGTTTGAGAAATGTTCTAATATGTTTTGTGATCTTATCTTGCAGACACTTTTCAGTCGGGAATCATTTCAGAAAACCAAGCCTTCACCGGAACATGTGATTGCAGGATGGGAGCCCAAGGTGAATGCATGAACTAGTTCTAAGGCTTCTAAACTTTAGTTATGAAATGTGGGTGAGACTGAGTCTTTGCATAGCCAAAATGGAGAGTGGTCCTTTATCCAATAAATGTAGTGTTTATCTATCGGGTGTTATAGCTATGGTATCTACTGTTTATTGACAATGAAACTTCTTGGAGTTGCATGGTGCTCAGCCTTTAGTAATGTGATTATTAGCTTGTTTCTTGGTGTGTATTTATGGCGGTTGCATAAGATTCATATATAAGCCTATCAGTTTGTTGCCTAATCAGAGCCGTTTATTTAAAATCATAGAAAGCAATGACATATGAACAAGATCATTATATCAAAACAGGTAATGCTTTCTGAAAGAAAAATCGTTTGTAGAAATGTCTTATTTGATTCAAAGTTTTAAACAGGTAAGTTTTCAGAGCTCACTCTCCCAAAGGCAAAGTTACATCAAAATTATAACAAATATGAATTACATATATCATATACTACTATAGTTTAATAAAATACCAGTATTTTATACTATCTTTCCTTTCAAGAGTAGGATTTGAAGTCAAAATTCTTGTAAAGTTATGTTTAGGGCCGGGATGAAGAATCGTTAACTCAATTGGTCTTGTTGGGCTGGTCCAGTTTATATGAACTGATAGTATGGTTTTTACCGGGCCAGCTCAAATATGAACGCATTGTATTGGTATTTCAGCCGTAATAATTTTATTAACTGATTATAAATAATAGTGCCCACCTGTTATTCAAACAATTCCATCTTCAATTTAAAACTCTAGATAAGGGTAGATTTAGATCTAACACTTAATTAAAAATAAATAATTCTTAATCGTGTTGGAATGGTGGATGAGTATTTATCAGTTGCTGCAATGATTTTGGAACCGATTACTGGAAAGATGCTTCTATAATCGACAAAGTATTAGTTTGCTGGAGTGAGATGTTTAGGATGAACTTAACTGTCTTTAGAATCAAGGCAAAGAATTATTGGTATTGGAAGAAAAAACGTCTACAGTGAGAGCTAGAAGAGTTTATCCAGGGAACGAAATAACAATTACAGCTTCCTCTATTGATTAGATTAATGTAAACCCATAATGAAGAAAGGAGAAGAAGACTCATAAAAGATGAAGAAGAAGAAAACCTATAAAAAAAACAAAACATAACTGATGCGGACACTCTGATCATAAAACAAAACTTATGAGAAATCAAATAATTACTTTTAATTGTTTATGGATTCATAAAAAGTAAATATTTAACGTTGACTTCTAACAATTCATTTTTAAAATTCAGTAATGGAATAATTACTTTCTATTATTTAACGGTTAGCTTCTTGATTTAATCTATTCATTTCTACTTTAAAAAAGAAAAAAGAAAAGAGAAAGTACTCAAATATAATTTATCCAAAAATATAAAAACAAAAGGGTAAGACTATATTACATATATAAGCAAAATAATACCATTAATTTCTCATGGACAAACACAAATTCATCTAAATTGTACTATCATAGGTGACCATAGTTTTTATACGCAGGTATATGGTGTCTTCACAAACCATGACCCTTGCCTTTAAAAAGAGTTCTTAATCACTACTAGCTTGATTTCTACAGTGTTTAGTTCCATGAATTTTTGGAGATTAAGAACGAGTATACATGACAATAAAAATGCAATTTTTGGAGCCATATTTTTCAACATGCATAAGAGACTAAATGAACAGTTAAACGCTCATCAGCTCATGTTTTTATACAATCCAATACCACTGAGCTAAAATTTTGGTTTAATTAATGTCTAATCTAAACTCTAACTCAACCCTAGCATATATAGTACACCTATTCTACACATTTTTTTTTTTTTTAATGATGGAGGGTGTCTGGACCAGTTTACGCGTACCTCAACTAATCTCTCAAGACTCTGGAACTATCGGTCGAGTAAGAGTTTCAGTGACTACTCCTTATTAACAACAGAAGAGAGATTCAAACTCAAAACCTGTTGAATAATATACTCGAGAGTCCCTATCAAACCACTCGATTACCCATAAATACTGGAGTTTATTCCACACAATTACTATACATACTTTTTCGTATCCTTGGTTTTCAAGGATTAACTGAAACACCCACTTCTACTTAACCCTAATTTAATGATTTTTATCATCAATAACACTACAAGAAATTTAATGCCTTCCAATAAATCAACGACGTAAAAGTTCATTAATTATAACATTACAATGACGTATAAATACCCATTTATACATAATTGTATTATGTTGATGGTAGTAGTATTCTCCACACATTCGTCGACATGTCATATAATATTTAATTTCATGATGTTCCATGAACACATTTATTTAACTAGCACTATTTTGTGAGGGATGAAGTGAAAGTTGATAATAGCATATGAATTAATCATCATTGGGCGGTTGATTGGTAAATTAGGGTATTGTTGGGTATATTACTCAAGGTTTTGGGTTTAATTTACCTCTCTTATTAATACGGGTGATTGTGATTATTAATTTCATGACTTTAGATTAATTAAGATAGCTTACTGTCACGCACTTAACTTCTTTGCTAAGTTCGTGCGGCCTTAACCCTTCGAAAATGAGTTAAGCAGCCTAACGCTCACACAACTAACAAGCTCAAAGTATAAAATCTAGAGAGAGAAGTTTAGAGAAAATATAAACTCTATATTGAAAGGATTCTAGTTATGAAATTTATAAAGGAGGGGTGGCCTATTTATAGGTTAAACCTCCTCAAAGAAATGACTACATACATTGAATACTTAGTCCTTAAGTAAACTTAATCCCTAAGTAAACATTAGGTGGCACCCTTAGGTGGCAACCTTAGGTGGATGGATAAGTATTATCTTTTAAGTTTCTTTGCTACTAAGTTTACTTAACTACGAAGTATATTTAGCCACTAAGTAACGTGCAGCCCACTTGAGTCACCAAGTGAGCATGTCGTGACATTACCCCGAACACCTTCTGTGAAAAAAAAAAAAATAAATAATAGCAGATGAATTTGGAGCATTAATTGGCTCAAACAAAACCACTAACATCACCTTCAGTCACTGAGCAAAAGTTCATGATGTGACGAGGATATGATATGGTAAGTTGTGCCCACATCTTAACAAATAAATCTAATATCATCATATGCCATTCACAGCACAAAAGCAAAGACAAAGCCATGCCAAATCTTATACGCAAACGAATAACATATATGACAATCTATAAATATAAAATAGCAAGAAGATTCCAGATGTGTGAGTGTGAATGTCACCAACTTACCAGCACTTAAATTCATCAAGAACCTACTCTGTATATATATATATATATACATACAGATGCCTCATCTTACAACAATTTAAATATCCAATGATTCTACAACTGATGGTTGAAGAAATTGGAGTAGAAATTGAGTAGCAGGGTTACCCTTTTGTTTTATTGGTTTGGGAATTAATTAACACGGGATGCTCCGTGCTCTTCTGTATTGTGATTGTGATTATGTGAGCTAAGGGACCACTATATATATATATATATATTCTTGGTATTGGCTCGATATATATGTGGGTGGGAAGCATATTATATGTTACAGAAACCACAATACAAAGAGAGAGAGAGAGGAGATATCGTTTTCGAATTTGGTATTTTTGCTATTCGTCGTCGTCGTCGTCTTCATCAGCGGCTTTGGAGGAATCAGAGATCATCTTCTGGATCATTTGACTCGTCTCTTCCTCGGACATCCTATCTTCTTTGCTTTGAGATTGAGCATAGGCTTCAAAGAATTCCTTGTTTTCTTTCTCCAGCTCATTCCATACTGCGTATACGCATATATTACATACAACTTGTTAATTACTTGATTATACAAGTTTCATTTAAGAATCTCAGGGAGAGAGGAAGGGATGTAAGATGAAGCAAGTTTATTAATATCCATTCATAAAGAAACGACTTTCGTAAGAGTAGTGATCATGAAATAAATATACTATAGTGAATTATTTTCCATTCAAGCTTGAGTTGTGATAACTTTGATCAAAGATTCACGAGTCGTAAGTCATCATTCATGAAGTATATATACGGAGTAAGTTTGAAGTAGTAACCTTATGTTTTTCAATTCAATAACTTGTAAAGTTTAATAAACAACTTAATTAGTTGATGATCAATCCCTCTTTGTTTTTGTTCTTAATTATATTTAGTTGATGACAATAAAAGGGAAATATTAATTTCCTCATCGAAATCAAGCAGGTTTTACAGGAAGAAGTTCTATTCGATACGGGTAAATAGAGAAATCAGAATAAATGGAAAAACTGAGGTGAAGGAGAAAGACTAACCAGTGGAGGTGATGACAGGTTTGATGTCTGCATGTTTTGAAAGAGCTTCCATGCATTCTTCTTTTGTCATGCGGAATATCAAACACTTCTCTATCAGGTGCTGCACCTATAAACAAGTTTGTCACAATCACAAGCATGATCAATAACATAAACCCACAACACACAACACACAACGTACAGAAATCTAACATAAAAAAGAAAAGATGAGCCAAACCCAAAACAAGAAAGCCAAATAAACACTTGGTCTTAGAAATTAATCAAACATAAAAGGATCATCCGAACCCAGAAAACAAAGAACAAAAACAGCTACCATGTGTATATAAAAAGCAGAAGAGTCCCCCATAATAACCTCCCAAAGAAAAAAGAAATTAAGCAGTGATCTTCTTGCAATAAGCTCTTATGCAAGTATGTGATATAATTGAAGAGAAAAGTACTGAATATATATAACGAAGAGAGAAACTGAAAAGAGTTGGTGCAACGTGATGATTATAGAGAAGCATACCACAGAGGGAGAAGGTGATGGAGTGAGATGGGTCCAGGAGTCCCACGTGGGAGATAATTGATAATTGGTTGAGAGGAGATTAAAGGAGATCATACACGACCATTTATTTGTCTTTTTGGATTGCAATTAAGCTACCTCAACCCATCACTCCACGTGATAAGCGGGGCCCTTTCTTCCCCATGCTGACAAAATCTCTCAAATCCAGTTGGCCTTCTCCTACAGTAGCTTTTGATCTTCCTTAGCTTTGCCTTCCGTCAATTTCATTTCATGGAAACCATCGAATTAATTATTCTTCAATATGCAGCGTGATGAAAAGCTGGGTTGCATTCATTATTTTTTATATTTATATCGAATGATATTTTCTCTGTGTTAATCCCATACCTTGATGCGTTCAACACTCATTATTTTAAGCTTCTTTCAATTTCTTGCGATTAACTAGGACCGACAAACAACTGTTTAACTTGAATATTCAGACAATCAGCTCACTGTCATTATCTTCCTTTACACACAAGGGCCAGGACCACTTGGATTTCCCTACCATCTCCCGAATCTTAGCTCTCTCTTACTTTTAACTGGTGGCTTCACAATTCTCTCTCTTTTTTCCGATCATGTCAACTAGCTACACACATCACTTCGACAAACATGAATACATTACTCTCCACTTATATAATGAAGTTTAATTTTATAAATTTCTGGGAAAATCTGGAAGAGAAAGCATGGTCAAATTTTCACAATTAAGAAGCAAGATATATCTTAAATTTGGCAATAAAAACAGTATCCTGAAGCAAGAGCTTTTGACAGGTTTGTCTTTTTTATTCAGATGCATCGTACGATGATGTCAACATATTTCTTTAGGAAAAGAGAGAAAAATCATTTTACGGTTAGCAGGCACAACAAACCAACCAAGAATTGACTCTGAATTAAACAAAGCAGTTAATGCTTGAGTATGACATTAACGACTAAAGTGTTAGATATTTNACTTGGTCTTAGGAATTAATCGAACATAAAAGGATCATCCGAACCCAGAAAACAAAGAACAAAAACAGCTACCATGTGTATATAAAAAGCAGAAGAGTCCCCCATAATAACCTCCCAAAGAAAAAAGAAATTAAGCAGTGATCTTCTTGCAGTAAGCTCTTATGCAAGTATGTGACATAATTGGAGAGAAAAGTACTGAATATATATAACGAAGAGAGAAACTGAAAAGAGTTGGTGCAACGTGATGATTGTAGAGAAGCATACCACAGAGGGAGAAGGTGATGGAGTGAGATGGGTCCAGGAGTCCCACGTGGGAGATAATTGATAATTGGTTGAGAGGAGATTAAAGGAGATCATACACGACCATTTATTTGTCTTTTTGGATTGCAATTAAGCTACCTCAACCCATCACTCCACGTGATAAGCGGGGCCCTTTCTTCCCCATGCTGACAAAATCTCTCAAATCCAGTTGGCCTTCTCCTACAGTAGCTTTTGATCTTCCTTAGCTTTGCCTTCCGTCAATTTCATTTCATGGAAACCATCGAATTAATTATTCTTCAATATGCAGCGTGATGAAAAGCTGGGTTGCATTCATTATTTTTTATATTTATATCGAATGATATTTTCTCTGTGTTAATCCCATACCTTGATGCGTTCAACACTCATTATTTTAAGCTTCTTTCAATTTCTTGCGATTAACTAGGACCGACAAACAACTGTTTAACTTGAATATTCAGACAATCAGCTCACTGTCATTATCTTCCTTTACACAGAAGGGCCAGGACCACTTGGATTTCCCTACCATCTCCCGAATCTTAGCTCTCTCTTACTTTTAACTGGTGGCTTCACAATTCTCTCTCTTTTTTCCGATCATGTCAACTAGCTACATACATCACTTCGACAAACATGAATACATTACTCTCCACTTATATAATGAAGTTTAATTTTATAAATTTCTGGGAAAATCTGGAAGAGAAAGCATGGTCAAATTTTCACAATTAAGAAGCAAGATATATCTTCAATTTGGCAATAAAAACAGTGTCCTGGAGCAAGAGCTTTTGACAGGTTTGTCTTTTTTATTCAGATGCATCGTACGATGATGTCAACATATTTCTTTAGGAAAAGAGAGAAAAATCATTTTACAGTTAGCAGGCACAACAAACCAACCAAGAATTGACTCTGAATTAAAGAAAGCAGTTAATGCTTGAGTATGACATTAACGACTAAAGTGTTAGATATTTTTTTAGAAATTATACATGAATAGTTATAGAAAATCTAATGTAATAATTAAATAATAAAGAAAAGATGATTTTTATAATGCTTCGCATGTTTAACATAAACCTTATATATACTATTTTTTTATATAACATAAATCTTATATATATTATTTTTTTATATATGAAATATTAAGTAAATCTCTTTTTTATAGGTTATCTTTGTTCTAAGAATATAGATTACAATCTAAACGATGTTTTTTTATCAAAATCTCGAAAATGAGAAGAAGAATAATCTATTTATAGGAGAGAGATTTAATATAATGGTTATAAATCTATAAGTAGATAAGTATAATGTAAATCCTTCCTTACTTTTTATTAACTAATAACATAAAATATATCTTCAAATTATTTATAATTTAGATAAGTGTATGATTATTACTCGCTCGTAAATAAAACCTGAATATATCACTAATTCAATATTAGTGATAGCTGTATTCTCTGTATCTTGAAATGACCTGATAACTCTAGATAACTCGAATTCTTTCTAAACTCTTATCTGGGTTGATGTAAGCCTGCATAAACCCACCCGATTTTTTAACCATAACAGGAAGCAATATTTGTTTTTGCTTTTGATATTTTCTTCGGTACACACTACACAGTAACTACATTCATAACTCTTCGCACGATAATCGAGTAAAAATAAAGGTGCTTTAGACATGACGTCTGACTTGAACCCCATTGATAAATACAATTGGCGTTATTGAGGCATATGATTTCGCGTGATTTCAACATCATTTAATAAGCTTAAAATATTTTATAGGGGAAACGACTTACACCTACCCAAGGTCGGGCAAAACGACAGATTAATACTTAAAAAGTTTCAAAAATATAAATAGGTACCTTCTTTTAGTGAAAAGACTAAAACCTTTTATAAAATATTAGTCTATTTTTCTAACTATTTTTAGACTTTTTAAATTTATTAATTCTATCAAATATCTTCAAAAAAATTTAAAAATTAACAAAAAATACATTTATCCACCCTTACTTATCAGATTCTGATAGCCACTGTCGGTGATAGTTAGAATCTGTCATAACAGTTTATACCACCATCGAAAATGATCAGTAGTTCATCGATCTAGTATTTTTCAGTCAGATCCACCACAGATATAGTCAGAAAAGGCTAAATCTGATCGTTGACGGTCGTAACACTCCATCTTTGGTCGTCAGGGCCAAAGATGCGGCGATGGCCAAGATTTGGCCATTATTGACAGTCAACGACGGCCATTTCTTTAGCCGTCACTTTCCTGTCAGATTTGGCATTTTCATGTCAGATCTTGCCTTTTCCGACCAGATCCACTGTAAATTTGACCGAAAAAAGCCAGATCGATGAATTACTGGCCATTTACAGTGGTGGCCGTCGAAATCTGACAAGTATAGGTGAGTGGAAGTGTTTTTGTTAATTTTTAAACTTTTTTTTGGAGTATTTGATGGAATTAATAAACTTAAACGGTCTAAAATAATTAAAAAAATATACTGATATTTCTCAAAAGGTATTTTATTCTTTTCACTAATGGAAGGTACCTGCTTGTCATTTTAAAACCTTTTGGATGTCATTTCGCCAAACCTTGGTAGGTATAAGTCGTTCGGCACGATCATTTCATGTGATTCTTATCGTCCAATCAACATTTTTCTACTATCATTCATCTCTTCTCAAACTCAAATTTAACATAAAAGAATAAATTTTAGATGGAACGTCAATAACCAGGCGGAGCCTCCAAGTCGACCATGAGGTAATAATCAATGAATTCCTTCGTAAATTCTGAAAAAATTGGTGGGATTGGGCTGCTATATACCCATCAAATAAAAAAAAAAAAAAAAAATCATATTTGAAACCATACTTGGGATTTTTAATTTAAATTTTAGTTATTCATTATCTTAGTTTAATGATTCAAATGATTGATTTTATATATATAAAACGGGAGTATTCAAATTAGTTTGTGTACATTTAAACTAATGTCTAATGCCTAAACTAATGTTTAATGCCTGTTAAACACCCTATAAATTTAATGTTCTAAATAATCTATAAATATAATAAGTAAACTACAAGGTATATATATATATACCCGTCAAATTTCTGGCTTCACTTGCTTACAGTACGATACAACTAATGAGTTTTAACTTAACCATCACGTGCATCTCAGAACTCTTGGAAACCTGACAAAGAAATGCTGACAAATCACTTGAAATCTAGAACCTCCTTCATTGTATATATGTACCGAGATTCATGGAGACAGTAAATTAATATGATGGTCCAATCATTAATTTTTACCACATTATTGTGGTACTAAATTAATGAAAAGCAGCTTTTGTTAGCGACCAACCATGTTTTTTCTGCATAATGTTATATAAATATAATGACCTTTTTCTTGTGTTTGAATCATTTGAGAGATACTTATCATATTTGTACAATTATTTTAGTATATTGAATTTATAAAGTGTTTTGCAAACCTGAAGATTAGATAAGTTCTGATATGAGTCTGGATATCGTAGTTGACTATATATATATATATATATCCCATATCTTAATACATTTATTAGAAGACTAAAAAAAAAATTAAATATGTTATATAGATACGTGGAAACGTAATTTGGTTTTTTCTGATGAGAACGTACAACACTAGTAGTGACCACAACATATCATTACAAAAGAGGAAGGAGAGATTTGTTTTTTCCAACTAATAATA